AGTAGATAGTTGTATGTCATAGTTGCACATCCTTCTAGTTGCTGCATGTGGGACGTGGCCTCAGCATGGCCGGAGAAGTGGTGCGTCGGTGCGCACCCAGAATCCAAACCCAGGCCGCCAGTAGCAGAGCGCGTGCACCTAACCGCTAAGCCACGGGGCCGGCCCAGTCTCCAAATATTTTTAAATGTACTTAAATGCTCCTAAGTCCACCCACATCTCTCTCTTTATTGCTGCTAGCTCAGGCCGCAATTAAATCTCTCTCTGGGACTACTGCAATGGCTGGTTTCTCTGTCTCCAATCTTTACTGCTTCAAGTCAATATTCTAGTGTGCCTATCTGATCACATTGCTCCTTGCAGACAGCCTTTATAACTCCTTGTTTTTGGATAAAGTTCAAACTGCTTAACATGATCAATATTACTTCTGACCTCAAACGAACTTATCTTTTACTCTGATCTCCTTATCGTCTTATCTTGATCTAATTTTAGGCTGCTTAGTAATTACTGATTGATTTGTATGTCTCCATTTTTAGGTTCAGCCAAGGCTGAGATCCTGTGGCTTTAGGATGTAACATAAAGAAGAAAGGATTTTAAATCAATATATTCATTCAGTGGTCATGAAGTATTAACTGAGCACCTATCAGGAGCCATTGAGTGTTGGGAACCTGAAGATGAACAAGGAGCTCTCAGGCTAGTGGGAGAAACAGATATGTAACCAAGAAATTGCAATTGACCGTGATACGTAAAAAGAGGTGTATACAAGGTAAAGAGAGGTCCAGAGGTGGGAGGGAATCAATTTTGCCTTGGGAAATGTGTAGAGAGAGAGAGGTTAGGGTGAGCCAGGGAATGTTTTGTAGAGAAGGTGAGTTAAATTGGTGTCTGTACAGAGTATGGAATGGGATCTATTCAACAGATTGTAAAAGAATAAAGCATGGGCCGACCTGGTGGCTTAGCGGTTAAGTGCCCGTGCTCCGCTGCTGGCGGCCCGGGTTCGCATCCCGGGCGCGCACCGACGCACCACTTCTCCGGCTGTGCTGAGGCCGTGTCCCACATACAGCAGCTAGAAGGATGTACAACTATCTACTGGGGCTTTGGGGAAAAAAAAAAAAAGGAGGAGGATTGGCAATAGATGTTAGCTCAGAGCCCGTCTTCCTCAGCAAAAAGAGGAGGATTAGCATGGATGTTAGCTCAAGGCTGATCCTCCTCACACAAAAAAAAAAGAATAAAGTATTTTGATATAGGAAAGGGAGAGATTTGATTATTAAAGTAAAACATGAATAACTGAGTTTAATTAATCATTAGAGGTAACTTAAAACAAAGCAGTTGGTTTCTTCTTGGTCAATGGAAAGGAATTGACTGGCGTGAGTACAGCTTATATCTTCTGAAAGTCTTGATTTCAAGTATTCTTGTCAGCCCATACTTCTCAATTTTACTTTAATCAGTTATGGATGATCATGAGAAATTGTTTACTTAGCACTAACGATGGAAAAACAGGCTTGAGCTCAAGAGATGTTTAGATTAGATATTCACACATATTTTCAACAGTTATCAAGCATTACAATGGAAAGTTATGGTCTTTATTTTCCAGAGACTTTAGGAGGACGTTAAAAGACATTAAAAAGAGTGTTCTGATCCAAAATGTAGAAGAGCAACGAATCATAGTGATATTGAATGTCAGAACTGGAAAGGATCTTATACATCATCTGTTCTATTGCTCTCTTTTTGCAGATGTGTAGACTGGAATACAGAAAGATGAAATAACATGCCAACATCATCCTGTAAACTAGGGATCCCTGGGCTCAAACACAGGGCTTCAGAGTCTTAGGCACTGAGTAGGAAAAAAGTTGAAAAGGAATATATCATAATCTCTACCATCTTGAGAGTTTTCAAAGCATTGTCTGCAGTTCGTCTCAGGTGCTCTGATTTACTCTTGCCTGGAAGTGTGGTCCTACCTATGGATTGGTCCCCGTCTAAGAAAACCTTCCAATGCTGTTAGGGAGCAAAGGCTGAGGCCCATGAGACAGACAGCAACATTAGACTTTCTCATGTGCCAAAGAAAAATCTGCTATTGGAAGTCAGACAAGGGGGTATTGGTGTGGCCTAGAGTAGTTCAGGAATAAAGAATTGGGGTCTACTCTTTAATGATGAGTGGAGGGAGAGAAGGGTGGCCATTGTTGGAGAGAAATGGTGGGAATAGCAAAAGCACAGGACAAACAGCAGGAGGGAGTCCCCAGCGTCTGGGGTTGGGGAGAGGCCTGGTTAAGGAGAGCCGGATTTAAAGGAGAGGGCAGAAGCATCTCCTGGAATTCTTTTCCAGTTCTGTAACCTTTTCTGTCCTAATTACCATTTTATCTTCCTTCTGGAAGGGAGCCAGAAAGAAAGAGCCATGTCCTTTATCCAACAATTATAACCAGTAATCTCCTAGGAGTGCTTCTTAGAGGAGGAGGGTGTTCAGGTAATCCAGCCTGCAATTAAATTGCCTTAGGATGGGAGGAAGTGCGATGCCACCAGAGAAATTCCAAGAGAGTGTCAGCCCTCAGCTGTGGAAGCTCACTTCCTTCATGTGACATAGGTATAAATAATTGGAAGCCTCAGCTGGAGACAGACTCCCGGGAGGCCAGAAGCAGTAGCACTCCCTGAGCTCAGGTAAGACAACTTTCCCTCTCCACTATTTGTACAGTTTTGGGGATCAGCTCAACTTGCCCAATCATTTATCCAGGTGTGTTCAGGGCCACATCTAGGGAGCCCTTTCCATTAGGACAAAGCATCCTAGAGGACAGGGAATTGTCGTGTTATCTTTGTACTCCAGTACCTAGCACAATATTCAAGACAGTGGGTGTTCAATAAAAGCTGATCAAATTGTTGAATTTAACACATATTTACTATATGCCCACTATGTTTAAAGCAACTAACATCATTCTTTATTTAAAATGAATTGATCACTCACTATGTGCTAGGTGTATAAATCATGCATCGTTCTATTTCAATGTCAAAACAAGTTTCTGGGGTACGTTTAATTATCACCACTTTGGGGCTAAGAAAACAAAACCCAGAGAGGTGAGTTGACTTGCCCAAGGTCACAGAGATGTACTGTGACTAACTCATCCAGGTTTACCTGGGACTTTTCTAGTTTGTAAACTGAAAGTCCTATGTCCCGGGACCCCCTTTGGTCCTGTGCAAAGTGGGACAACCTGCATTGGTGGGAACTTGTAGAGCAGGGATTCGGACCCCGTTCTCTTGTCTCCACACCCAGCATTCTCTCTGACACTTTGGGGTTTGGTTTGTTTATTCCCTCTTCCTACATTTGGCTGTATCTCAGGAGGGCATGAATGTAGAATACATCCAGCTTATTGTCTGGCCCGAAGGAGAAATTCAGGAAGTGGTTGTGATCACCAGCACCATGCTGGAGCCTGAGGCTCAAGGAGAGATGTACAGCCTGTATACATGTTTTTATGTATTTTATATATGTGATTTTTTCCAAAACATTTAAGCAATTGAAAAATATTGAAAAATTAAAAAGTAGTTCTATTGCAATTCACAATATTATTTTAAGTTTAAATATTTTATTTATTCCCCAAACAGAATTTATTATAATTTTTATTTTCCTGGTTTTAAGAGAAGAAAACTCATCACTAATATTTTCATCATATACTTTTTGAAAAAAATTGATCACTAAGGATACATAAAAACATTAGATAGCTAGGTGATAGATAGATAGATAGATAGGTAGATAGATGATAGATAGATAGATAGATAGATCATAGATAGATAGAGAGTCGATAGAGAGATAGATGATAGAGAGAGAGAGAGAGAGAGAGATAGATAGGAGTACTCAGTTTTCCTTTTGTCTTGGGTTCTGATAGGCACAGCATAGCACCATCAGATTCTGTCTTTATTTATAATGCTGATATTTTGTTCATCATGGATTTTTTCATTACTTTTGATATTGCATTAAAATATTATCTATCTTGGTTACTGAAGCTTTTGGTGCCCCTTTAAATTTTGTGCCCGAGGTGAGTGCTTCACTCTTCTCACCCTAATCCCAGCCCATTATCACTTTATCTTAAAACTCAGCGGACACTAGACAGTGCCCTCTTACAGATCAGCCTCACCCCAAGAAGAAATGGCCACCCTCCCCGCCTTTCTTCTCTTTCTTTTGGGATCACTTTCTTGACCTCCAGCCTGAGTTGCAGGGCCAGGAAAGCACGTGGTCTTGGACTCGTCCCCTGTGTGCCTGACTCCCGTCCTCCTGTAGAGGGGGCTGTGGAGCCAGAACCCTAGGGAGGGAGGAGAAGCGCTGGGTGGAACTGGGCTGATGCCCATGGGATCTTGCCTTTCCCTGCCAGTAGGGATGTTATGAAATCATTGCCTTTCTATTTGCCTTCGGGACTGAAATAAATCTATTATCCCCAAATAGCCAATCTGGTCCCAGACCCATGCCAAACAGCTAAACTCCTTTGCCCCGGGGGTGACCATAAAATCCAGACAATTTTCTCTAAGTGTTTTTGCTGGCTCAGCAACAGCTTCTGTGAGGTTCTGAGTTGCCCTGCGGGTTTAAGGGGACCAGGAAGGTGAGCTACACTGCCATTCTAAGGAAAGACTCTATACGTTAATTCGCCAAAACAAGTTTTGACATTTTCCCTGAAATGTCGTCCTCTATCTATTTACTGCAAGTGCCTGCTGCTCCAGGCCTTGTCTGCCCGGCAATGACGATGGGGCTGGGATGGGGACAGGATAAAGGAGCTGGGACCTGTAGCACCAGCTCACACCCAGACCCTAAACAAGCACCCCAAGGGAAGGCTGCTCTTCAAGGAGGCTCAGCAGTTCCTCTAGGTTAGATGAATGGGCCAGACCGTGGGAAGCCAGATAAAGCTATTAAGTTTCACCCTCAGGGAACACCTGGGAGAGGCATGTCCCTGGTGACTGGATTAGCTTCTTAAGGCCTGAGATGGGGAAGTTAGTCAAGTCAGGCTCTGTCCCTTGAATTCCTAGCTCCTGTGGTCTCCAGATTCCGGCACAAGATGAAAGGCTCTGGTCTTCCCCTCTGCCTTCTCACTGCTGTGTTTTACCTCTTCTGGACACCTTCTGCTGGGCTGAAGACACTCCGTTTGGGAAGCTGTGTGATCACCACAAACCTTCAGGAAATGCGAAGTGTATTTTCTAAGATACGGGACAGTGTGGTATGTGAGGAAGGCACCCCACCACCTTGTGGCTGCCTTTTTTCCTCTCTACTTGTCTTTCTCTGTCCCCTGGTAGCCCAGCAGCGTGATCACAAAAAGAGGCAGGCTGAGGACTCCTTACCAGGAGGATGCATCTCTAAGAAATATCTATAGTTCATAATTGAAAATTGTTTTGGAGAGGGACGCTGCCCACTAGGCCATAGCAAGGAGTGGATAAGAGGTCTTGATGTCTCAGACCCTGGCAACAGTCACTTATCTGGCCTTTCTTGCCTTGCCTTCTTCTGGTTAGCAAGCTGAAGATGAAATCATCGACATCAGAATCTTGAGGAAGACAGAGTCTTTGCAAGACACAAAGGTATGTGCTTGTCCCCTACGAGTTCTGGGAGGAAGTATGAGTCGGGGGCATCTCCACCACCCCAGTTCTTGTCCCTGGACACCCTCCCCCCACCACATACTAGTCTTCTTTGTAGCCTGCAGATCAGTGCTGTCTCCTCCGTCATATTCTGAGACTCTACCTGGACAAAGTGTTTAAAAACTATCAGACCCCTGACCACCACATCCTCCGGAAGATCAGCAGTCTCGCCAACTCTTTTCTTACCATTAAGAAGGACCTCCGGCTCTGTGTAAGTAAGGGTCTTGGGTAAAAGGATTTATCTCAGCACATAACTTCAATGACTTAGCAACCAAGCTCTTTCTTACCTTCATTTAATGGATGGAAAAACTGAGTCCAAAAGTTCTAATAATCTGTGTTGAGCCATGTGACTAGGTAATAAGAACTCAGTTTTATTGACTTTTGGGTATATGCTCCATGTAAAAAGTCCAAAGAACAAAATGCTAGCTATTTGATGTTAATGATAGTTATCCACTCTCCATGAAATTATGCTTTTTCTGTTACCTGTGGTGTCCTAGTGCATCCTATGTCCAGGCAGCCAATCAACAGACCACTGGACTCAATCTCAAAACAGGGTCTGAGTAGGACCTAGAAATCCAATTGTCTCTTCCCATGGGGGCTCTCTGGGAGGGAGCTAGACTACAGCTGAGGTGGGCGGTGCAGGCCAGACTGGGTACAGTGATCACAAACTCCTTCAGTGCTGCCTGTTACTAAAAAGAAGCAACGAGCTCCATATTTGAGCCCAAAAAGCTGGCTTCCTCTTTTAGCCGATGACCAGTTTAATGATCCCAAATGATGAAGTCTGAAAAGATTTTTCTATAGGAATGGAATATCTACAGGAACATGGGTGAAAGAGTAGAATTCCCCTCTACTTCTTGTCAATGGCAAGGGCAGAAAATCAGAATCTGTAATAAAATTTCTGATTCTTTGGCATTCTTTTTAGCATGCCCACATGACATGCCCTTGTGGGGAGGAAGCAACGGAGAAATACAGCCAGATTCTGAGTCACTTTGAAGAGGTATATGCAATTTTGGCCTTGGTTGGGGTGGGTATGTTTTTAGAACTGAGATCAGAGATGGGTGGGGTGGATATTCACAGTGGTAGAAATCCTGTAGTCCTTAGGTTAATAGCCGTCTGAGGTCATGTGGACTATCCCTCTGCTTTAACCCGGGGGACACCCATTCAGGCTCTAGAAGGGTACTGTTTCCAGACGATTCTCTGGGAATCGAAAAGGAATGGCCTTGATTCCATCAAGTCACTCCAGAGACATCTGGATCTCCCAGCTGCACAAACAAGAGGCAATAGTTTTCCAGCATTCATACACTTATACATAGCCTTGAAAACAGTCACTCACAATTTCACACATGCCCATGCCATGCTGTTTCTTACCTCAATGCCTTTGCACGTCTGCCAGGAAGGCCAGGAATTCATTCCTCACTGACTAATTCCTTCTCATCCTTTAAGAGTCAGCCTAGGCATCACCTCCAGGGAGGTACTGGCTGCTTCTCTGAGTTAGGTGTCGTCCTGTGGGGACTTCATCATCTATTTACCACACTGCATTTTAATTGTCTGCTTCTGCCTATCTCCCTCACTTGACTGTGAATTCCCTGTGGGAAAGGATTGTGCTATTCATCTCTGAATCCCTAGCCAGTCCACTACTTAACACAATTAATATTTGTTCAATTGAAGTATGCACGGTAGGCAACCACTACACACACACACACACACACACAGACCTTTCTTAAAAAGCAGCCTAATTACTTTGATCTCTGGGATTCAAGAGAGTTGGGTTGTAGTCTCAGTTCTGCTACCCAGGCCTCAGTTTCCCTCTGTAAGACTACAGTGATGGACTCAATGATTTTCCTGCCTCTTGTAAGAGCTTGAGGTTCCATAACTTCTTTCAAACTCTTCATCTTGAAAAGAATGCTCTGCTTACAATCCCCAACAAACCCACCAATGAAAGAAGATTAACCCTGGAGCACGTGTTGTCTCTTAGTGATTTTCTCACCTCCTGAGTGTGTGTCTTTCAGCTTAAGCCTCAAGAAGCGGTGCTGAAGGCTTTGGGAGAGCTCGACATTCTCCTGCGATGGATGGAGGAGAGGGCATAGAAGGAAAATGATGCTACTGCTGAGAGTATTCCCGGCCAAGTGTCCCAGTCCTTAGTACCAGTGGAAGCCTGACCCTAAACCACCATCTCTTTCTTATATAATTTAGTGCTGGTCACAGTGTACATTATTTATGTATCATTTGTTTCCTTATCGTGGTTGTCTTCATGTGTTGCCACTCTTAATCTAGACCATGGTTTTATAAGATTTTGGTAATATCTTTTCTACTGTTGGATATATTTATTAGTTAATATTTTTATTTATTTTTGCTATTTAACTTATTTTTGTACTTGACATAAGGCTTTCTAAAAAAATTCATGGATTATATTTATAACCTGACCAGAGCACGTCATGTATTTTCATACAGTAAACAAACTCTGTAAATTCTAGAGGAGTGGCTGGAGGGGGCAGTATTCGTTTTTGTTAAATTAAGGATATATTTACTGACTGCTGATGCTCTGTGAGAACCAATGGCTGCTCAGTGTGTCACAGAAGAAGTTCTGATGTGAAATTACAGCCTTATCTTAACAATCACTGACCACCCGCCCAACGCCCCAACCCCATTGTGTGTCTTCCAGCTGTGGAATATGGCCAAAATGTATTTCTACAAATAAAGTTGTCTTTGCATAACATCTGCTTGGAGTTTGAAAATGCTTCAGGAGCAGAAACAATGGTGGGGATGAGCTTGAATCTCATATCACCCAGGGTCCTCTTGCTCCTTTCGGAAAGAAAGATGCAAGTGGGAACCTGGGCCTTCTCTCTCCTGCCAAATGCATTCCCAGCTCTGTCTCAACTCCTTCACATCTCTGATACCATGGATGCCCTCCACATAAAGGGACTGTGACTGAGAGAGGGGCCTCAGCCGTCCCTGCGTTTACCTCATTGGCTTTAAGTACTGTCCTCTCTGCACCCCGGGTTTCTGACTGAGCCGGGGCGGGGGGGGGCGGGGGGGGCGGTGCATGAGCCCTCTTTTGAGGCCCTCCTGTTTTGGATTCTGTCTAGCCCCAGGGTCTAGGTTGTTCCTGGATCAAGTCTTTGTCTTTGTGACCAACTAACGGGTCAGTGTTCTCTTTCCAGGCCCTTTCACACTGAGCTGCCCTGGGCTGCAGGAGCCAGAATTCTGGCCTGGGCTGCTTGCTGCCTCCCTCCCCGACCCTTCCCGCAACTCTGAACTGCACCCCCAGCTTAAGCAGTTTAATCTTCCCAATTTCAGGAAGAGCAGACTGATGCTGATGCCCTGGCTCCCACAGAGAGCTCTTGTTTCTGCCTCTGTTTTCTGCTCCCAGCCCTCAGCCTGGGCCATGATTCGCTTAAATTACTATATTGGTTTTTTTTCTCATTGCACAAGTAAGAACTAAGCAATAGAGAAAATTTGGAAAATGCAGAGCAATATGAAGAAGAAAATTAAAATCACCCATAATCCTACCACTCATAGACAACCATTCAAACATTTAGGTGTATTTTTCCCATATCCTTTTTCTTGGATTTGAGTCATGACTCTACTCTCATTACCTGAGTGATTTGGGCTGTAAAACTTAAACTTCTTGAAATTAAGTTTCTTCCTCTGGAAAACAGGATGATAATGTCCAGCTTTCAGGGTGATGGAAGAGATGGTCTTTCCTGTTCCTTTGAAAATAAGGCAGGGGCCAGCCCTGGGGCGCAAGCGGTTAAGTGCGTGCGCTCTGCTGCGGCGGCCCGGGGTTCGCCGGTTCGGATCCCGGGCAAGCACTGACGCACTGCTTGGCAAGCCATGCTGTGGCGGTGTCCCATAGAAAGTGGAGGAAGATGGGCACGGATGTTAGCCCAGGGTCAGTCTTCCTCAGCAAACAAAGAGAAGGATTGGTAGATGTCAGCACAGGGCTGATCCCCTCACCAAAAAAAAGAAAATAAGGCATTTTCTGCTTTGATGCTCCCCATTATGGTCATCCATTTTCTATCAGATTTTTACCCCATCTCACCCCTCTTCTACCAGATTTTCCAGTTGTGTGTCTCCTGGTTTTCTCTGACCAGTCTGACAAACCACTTGGCTTCAACTCCCAAGGAATAGTTGAGAGGTCAACTTCACTGAACTCAGTGCTAAAATTAGAACCACCAAGAGACATTGGATGGCAACGAGGAGGCTGGTTTAGCTGCCAAGGTTGAGAGTCTTTCAGATGAGTGCCTCTGACGTTGACTCAGAGCTGAGGATGAAGCTCTTCCATTAGTTTCCTGAGAAGCATCTCTGACTCTTCTAAAAGTCTGGGCCATGGCAAGCCTTGGTCTTTCGGGACTTCATGCTACCATTGACTTGTTACCTCTTTGCCTGTCTATTCCCCACCCCTGCAGGACCTATCTCCGTCTCCAAGTCATTTGTCTGTTCTCTGCTTGACCTACCACAGTACCAATAATGGGGAATTCAGCAGCAGAGAGGTCAAGCCAGGTTGGGGGTTAAGGGAAAACTTCATGAAGGTGGAGCTGTTGAGGGACAGACTTTAAAGGATTCTTTCCGATTGTCACTTCAATTCCAATAATTAAAATGATTGTTGTCACTTATTAAGTACTTATCATGTGCCAGGCACTGTACTGGGAACTTCACATACATTATTTAATCCTTAAAAGAATCCTGTGAGGTAGGTAGTATTATTATCAGTTTGCAAGTGATAATGTGCTCAGAGATGGGAAGTAATTTGTGCAAGGTTTTACAGCTAATAGAGGGCAGGACCAAGAGTTGAATGCGGGCACTCTGATACCACAACCGTATATGTTTTCCCACCCTACTGTCCTCTTTCCCATCAATGACATCTTGTGTTCAGAAGCCCAGCAGGAAGGAATGATGAGCTTTGGCTTCACAGAGACATGAGCGAAAATCCTGACTCACTTGGACCAGTGACATAACCATCCTCAGTTTCTTCATATGCAAAGTGGGGATTATACTGCCTACCAGACTGTGTTGATGTGAGGACTAAATGCGACTGTAATAGTTAAGTTGTACAAGCGCTTATCATGAATCAGGTACTGTTCTAAGTGTGTTGCAAGTGTCGGCTCATTGAATATGCGCAAGAACCTGGTGAGATAGGGGCCATTGTTATTCCCATCTTATAGATGAGGAAACTGAAGAACAAAAAGGCAAAGTACCTTGTTCAAGCTAACAATGGTGGAGGTAAAATATGAATGCAGTAGGCAGACTGGAGAACCATGCATTTAACACTTCACTTTGCCGGCTAGAATGCCTGGGACACAGAAAGCACTTGATCAATAGAGGCTCTGGAGATAGCAGGGGTTCCGCCTGCAGAGGAAAGTGATGAGCCTTCCTGCCAAGCTGTGGCACTAACTATTAACATCCTGGCACAGCTTATCTCCATGACACCTGTGCTGAACTTCATTTTTCCATAAGTCTAAACCTTGTCTTCTCAACAAGCAGAATGTAAGTTTCTTTGGAGGTGACAAGATGAATATGCTAAACCTCAGGTTGACCTAACAGCTCTGGTTACTCTTAGCGGTTAGATCTTGGATAAGCCACTCTGCCTCTCCGGGCCTCAGTTTCTGCTGAGAGACTGAATATACAAACGGACAATGGCTAGACCACCTATAAAAATATAACTCTGATCCACAATCTGCAGAAAGCAGACCAGAAAGCTAGTCTGCTATCTATAAGTCAGGCTTGTATAAAGTCAGACCGCTATCTCTAGCAACCATCCCGGGAAGTCAAACCATAACCCCTGTAGCAATCAGCCCCAAATGGTCAGAATTTGATTAATAACTAACAGCTTCCCTAATTTTTATGTCCACTTCCAACTTAGCATGAGTGAGAAAAAGCCAAATATGCACTCCTAACCAATCACATGGCATGCTCTGCTTCTAGTTAGCTCACTGACGGCTTCCCCAGGCCAGCAGCCTCCAATCCAGGCCTACCTGAAGGCTTCCTTTTTTTCTTTTGTAAAGCTGTTCCACTCCTGCAGGCCTTTGAGTCTCTGCCAAAACATAAGTGATGATGGCTGACTCCCTTGCTACAGCAAGCTCTGAATAAATAGCCTTTGCCTATTCTCATTTGGTTAGTCTTCCTTTATTCTACACTGCGTTTGTAAAATGGAAGAATTGGAAGAGATGATTCTGAATTCTAGAAACTGGATGTGATACCACTGTCTCAGGGGGTCAGATGTAGCTGCTATTGCCTTTCATTGCAAGAAGGGATTTGCATGGTTCCTGTATCACCAGCTTTGGATTCAGAATTTGAGGTGAGCACATCTAAAGGTTGGGCAGGACTAGGTGATCCCCTGGATGCCAGGAAGGCTAGACAAGACTTCCTTCTGTTGGGAGGTGGGCTTCTTCCCAGAAGGAAGGGCATCTATCAAACCTAGGAATGAGATCCAGATGTGGGGTGACTCAAAAGAATAAAAATGTCCGCAATACCTCTCATTCCCACCATGGCTTGAGGTTGCCCGAATTCCCTATTTTCAAGGCTTCAGGCCTTCTCCAACATAATCCAGTGTAACTTTGTTTGCCTAGCCCTTTCCCATACAGATGGAGAGCAAATGGACCTTTCCCCTGCTGGACAAGTTCTTGGAGGACAGGAGTGTGTCTTTTCAGCTTCTTAGCCTACACTATCTCACCACAGTATAACGTTACATTATTGATAGGACAGAATTCAAAAGCAAGAGAATGGAATGTATTTAAATGGAAAAATTTTTCAAAAACTAAATAAAATTGCTCTTTTTATGTATGTGGCGCTCAACTAATTTTTTATGAGTTAAAGGCTTTGGTTTTTGCTAGAAAACAGATAATCCACCCTGCAGACTGGGCCTTGCCAACAGGAGGCAGCAGAACAAGTGATGAAAGAATGACTGAATACAGCCACTCCCTTAATTCACTGGAAGCTTGGAAGGAGAAAACGTGACACTCTGGTTCAACCCAACTGTCCTGAGCGCAATGAGTCAATCGCTTAACGGGAAGAGGGTAGGACTCAGAGGCCTGGAGGCAGGAAGCTGTGGATGACAACTAGAGTGCCAGCATCTTTCAGAGGACATTCTTTGTCTCACTGAATGTTAGAAGTGGGTAAGAACACACAGATCATTAAACAGGGCAACTGGACTTTAGGGAAGGAAAGCAGCTTGTCGAAGGTTACATAGTGAATTCTGGCAGAGTTAGCATTAAAACTAAGGTCCCTGTACTTCCAAGACCAGTAAACCTCAGTTCAATTCAAGAGGAAATAAAAGTCATCCAGATTGGAAATGAAGAAGTAAAACTGTCTTTATTCATAGATTACATGCTCGTCTAGGTAGAAATATTCAAGAGACTCTACAAAAAGCTAC